AATCAAGACGTGGGACGTCGAATTTGAAGTCGACGACGACAAATCTTCTGTCGTCTTTTTTTCTGTTCATATTTTTCGCTGTTAAGAAATGCGACCATTTGACGAATTCGTCGTTTGGAATTTAGATGGTTATGAAGTTTTACTTGCCTTGACTGACTTGCCGACTGAGTCGAGTATTGATGTAAAGGAAAACGAATGTGTTTTTTTCATGCCTGGAAAAATTAACTTTTCGAGTTGTCAGTTCTTTTTTTCTTTTGTTAGCTTGTTTAACACTAGTGTTCTGCTGCTGGAATCATATACTCTCGGTCGACAGCTGTTTTTTCCGTTTTTTTTTTCCAATTCTTTTTTAGTTTTTTGGCCATATTTCCGTGCTTTTAAAGTCAAAAACCGAACTCATTTCATTTTCATTTTATATTAGAATTACCGATATATAGAGCAACTGAGCCACGAGGTTTATAAAGTCACCTATTAGTCGAAAATCAGGGATGGTGAGAAAAAAGCTAGTTAGGTTTACTGTGAAATTTAGTTCTTTTTAATAATTTTATGTGTGTATATATACATGGTTTAATTTGATAAGTTGAAAAATAAGCTGTAAAGAATGAATTCAAAAATGAATATTTCGAAAATGTATTTTAAAAATGAATGATTGTATGAAAGAAATGAAAAAGATGAACTAAAATGAAAAAAATGCTACTAGTGAGAAATTTTTGTTTAAACGGTTACCGATAAATCTGGCCGTGTAACATATGAGCGAATTGTTCCGAGTAGCTCATCTAAGGAATCCTGTATGTTCAGAAGTTCGAAGATGTTTTCATACCCTTGTGTTTGCGTAGTTTTGATACACGTATCACCAAATTCCACACAAATATGTGTTTGCATTCTTTTACTACAAAAATTTTTTTAAAAAATCAAAAAAATTCTTATACTGCAAAAAAAGTGAAATTTAACCAGAGATATGGCTAACCAAGACAGGATGACTTGGTTGAAAACGTCGTTAATGTTTGTGGCTAACCTTCAAACGAATTATTAGAAAATCCGGTTAATAAAAAGTACCAGATAAGTACCACTTATCAAAACATTGTCAAGCCGTTTTAATGAAATTTTAGTAGTTGAATTAAATAGAATAGAAGATCTTTCTTTATAAGCGGCGATTCGTCTTATGTGCAAGTAAACTGAGCATTTGAGTTTCTTAGTCGTCCTGGTGAACAAATCTTTTTTAAGTAGGTCATTTCGCAGCTCAGAAATAATGTCCTTTATATCTGGCGGAGTTCTATTCTGATTAAATGTCAGCTCAGTTCCTCTCAGCTGGTTTAGACAAGGACTCAGTTTTTCACTAATTAATTCGATAGAATAGGAAAAAGATTTTTTCTTACTTAAACTCAAAAATCCGGAACGAAACCGGGTGAGCATAACACAACTGAGTAGTTCACAAAATAGCATCTACAGTGTTATGAATCTTATCGCAGTTTAGCCACCATAAATTGCGTTTCGAGACTTGCAGATAGCATGGTGGAAGTGATGTCGATCATCACAGTACAGTGCTGGTTAGATTCCGCTCCGGGCTCACCAACCTGTCCGTCCTTCTGGGGTTAGGAAGTTGGCATCGGACTCGTCTGGGAAAAGTTCTCTCTTTACAACTCAGGTGGGACCGTTCTAACCCGACTATCTCAGAACTCTAGGGAGAATAGACTCGACAATCACTCAACGACATTCAAGATGAAGTGAAAAGTCCTCAAGCAGAATCAGAAGCCACACGTAAAAATTGCAAGAACTTCGTGGACGATGTGCGCGTGGAAATGAACCGAATGTGAGAAATCCTGGAAAGGCAGGTTATATAAAACAAGTTTAAAAAACCGTGTAGATGTAGCACAGAGTTGAGTTTTTCGACAACCGACGGTGATTTCTCAGTCAACGGAGTGTTTGAAGGATTTTAATCTGCAGATCTATACAGTAGGGCTTTCCTTTATGGTACAATGGCATATCTAATCTTTAATATGGTATTATTTTAGTTTTAATATGCTTAGAGGGAAGAATTTGGGAAAACTGTTGGCGGATTTCAATATGTAGAACCTAAAACAAAAAAGCGACGCCTGTTAAAAATTGGAGACGCAGTAAGAACGTCGTCGTATTTTTCAAGACGAAAGCAATTACTTCCGTGTTCGAAATAAAAGCATTGGCACAGAGCAAAATTGAAGGAAATACGTTTAATGAGCTCGAAAAAGACGGAATTTTATTTTCGTTTTACCGAATTCTTTAGGGGAGGATACGTAGATCCTAATAGTTCCTAATCCTCACAACGGTTTACCGCCTTATCGTGGTTGGGATGTGTTCATGGGTATCAGACTGCGATGTGCAGTGGTGGAGTTCGTCCCACCGGCAAGGTCTCCCAAGCTGAGAAGGAGTTCGGTGCTTCCATCAGGAAGCCTAGTTAAGAGTAAACCAATACCAGGATCCATCACCGTCCTGGTATCAAAGTCGCATGGTGGCAAATCTCCACAAAGGCTGCGACTGCCTATGGTGATGAAGACCTGGGGAGAACTTTGACCAGACTGACCTCGGGGTTCCAGGGAACCGCAATGGCCTAGCCTGCAAATCTCCGAAAAATGGTGATTATGCTAGGGCCCGCACAACAAATAGTGAGGACGGGCCTTTCAAGTATCAAGTAAGTAATAGTTCCTAATCCAACTAATTATTTTGTAGTGATCTGAAATATGCTGATTTAAAATTGAAAGTTGTTTTCGCATCAAAAGAATCGCGCTCAATGCATCTTAGGCGATATGTGTTAATGTATTTGTCGCCTTTTGATCAACCTTTTTATCTCCATTTTACATTTTAAGGAGCAGCTAGTGCTGTGGTTGATGATGCAGTCCATCAGCAAGCACGGCGCTGGTTCGATCCTTCCTCCTTTGGTTAACATATTTAAAACTTGTTTTCGTTTTTTTTATGCTTTTGTGAATATATTATTGGTTTCCTTAGTGCTTAAATAAATCGCCCTTGCATGCAGTGTATTTTCCAACGTTTTTCTCCGTTTCTTTTTTCTGCAACCGTCTTTCATCCACATAAGTTCGGCTATAACTTCAGGATTTTTGATCTTCTTTGCCTATTGATGTGTTTGAGGCTGAACTTGCGTTGTTTTCTTGGAATCCCAAATAACCTTGCTCAATTGTGTTCAGGCTTTCAACTCCGGATAGTATTTGCCGTCCTTCGCAGATCGGATGAATGCATGTTGCTTACGAGTCGGTTTCTTCCAGGATTGCAGCGAATTATGCGATTAGTCAACCGATCAGCGAATGATGTTGTAGCTATTCGAGATACATTGCGCCTTGCATGGTGTAAAGGGCTCTAGTATTATTCAAAATTTTTTACAAAGCATAGAGCTCTATCTCATTTCTGCCTTCAGATATCCAGATCATGTTGCGATTGATATCGGTCTCTTTTGCTTAGTATTTCTCACAGACATTTTTTCCATCCCGGCAAATATATCAGAACGCGGAGTTATTTCTCTTCATTTGATTTCATGAAAAAACACACCGGTTACGTTTGACATTTCTTCTACTAATGCAATAGCCATGTGCACTCTCCGTCAAGCACATTGACGTTTTGCGATGCATTTGTCATATGTTTCGTTACTATCGTTTACTTTCCAAAAATCTACTTTTTATCGATAAGCTTATACGAGGTCGTTACAGAAGGTCGTTAGTCGGCCAACGTTTCAATGCTTTTGACACATTTTAAAGATTGTTAATTCGCTGTACGCAAGCTAATCCAACACCGACCACTGCCGGGATGGATTGCTCGGTGAAAGACAAACTATTATCAACGACCAATCACTACCATCAATAACCATCATGTACGAAACAGTGTCACTGTATGAGACTGTCCCTACTGAAGGAGATCCGGCTCCATACGACTATAAAGACACAGTATGGCAAAGACGGAATGGCCGCTAAGAATCGACTTGGATCGTCACAGTTCTGAAGAAGACGACAACGACGACGAAATGAAGAGGAATAAAAGCCTTTGTAACAACCTCATATAAGCATGTCAATAAAAAGTCCGATTTCGCTTTGTCTTTGTCTTTTCATCTGACGAAAGCAAGAAGCTATATCTCTTCTCATAACAATTTGTGCGCTCCAAACGTTTCGTGTACACTTCTGTTGAAACTGGGTGGTAGAGTATTGGCTAGTTATCAGTCCGTCAGAAAACAAGGTGCTAATCCGATCTCCTCCCTCTTCTCTCTTCTCTCTCCTCTTCTCCGATTCACATCGGAACACCTTAGCTAGGCTATGTCCAAGTTTGCGAAAAGAATCAATTCGAGGAGCAGCATTCTTCGACGTTCATGAAAAAAACCGAAATCTTCAACCAATAGCCGAAACCGCGCGTGAAAAAGTTCGGTAGTACTTTGTGAGCAATAAATGCAAGGAAAACGAGTGGAATGCAGGAAATGCTAAGATCCGCACCGATGCTACGAGGGGTCATACTTACTTCGATACTTAGATGGCCCGTCTTCACTGGTTGTGCGGGCCTCAGCATAATTACCATTTCTCGGTGATAAGCCATTGTGGTTCCCAGGAATCAAGAGCCCAGCCTTGCCAAAGACTGCCCCAGGTCTTCACCACCACAGACAGTCGCGTCCCTTGGGGACCAGAGAGAGATTTGCCACCATGGAACTTTGATACTAGGACGAGGATGGATCCTGGTATTGGTTTACTCTTACTTCGGCTTCTTGTTGGAAACACCGGCGTCCTTCTCAGCTTGGGAAACTCTGAAGCGTGGATGAATCTCCCGCAGTACATCACAACCCAACACGCTGGAAAACCTCCCAGCCACGACGGCGCGGTAAACCGTTGGAAGGATGACGGGTCATAGAAAATTAAAATTAAAAACTCCTACCTGCTGTTAATATTGCCGTCTTTTGCACATATTGTAACTCGTCGTCGCGTACGTTAAAACTTATCCAGCTAGGGTTGGATTTCTAAATTGTGCGATTTCAGCATGAGATGTCGGATTCGTCGCAACATTTACGGATCGCTCTCACGGTTACCCATCTGTTGCTCGTCGGTCTCGGTTCACTCAACGTTTTCGTCATTTTTCTCATTCTTTCACGCCCGTTAGTGTTATTTATTTCTTACATATTTTTTTTATATTCTTCCCTTTACATTTTGAATTTGGCGCTGAACCAAGGCAATCTTATTAATATAGCAGTTGGTGTTACTCTTCTAGTATTAAAGTTTCAATATTGTAATTTTATAAAAAAAATAGTCTAAATCAGATTTTAAATAAAAGAACTGCTCTGAATTTTGAACATTGCTAAGGACTAGATCCTGACTTTCTCACAAACAACGAAAAAGGACGATAAATTGCAAAATCTTTATTTAGAAACAAAAATTGAATAAATAATGACAGAATAATTATGTATTCACAAAAGTTTATTTTAGCGTTACTATTACGTTGGTGATAATTAATGCTAGCATTAATTCGTATGAAATGCTGAGATATTTGCAAGACTCCGGACCACAAGTGTATGCAGTGGGGAGCGAACACACTCTGTTGTCCTTACCGGGGAGCAGCGCACTTCACCACTACGCCATCCGGACCCATGGTGAAGTGCGCTGCTCCCCGGTAAGGACAACAGCGCGTGTTCGTTCCCCACTGCATACACTTGTGGTCCGGAGTATTGCAAATATCTCATCATTTCATACGAGTTATATTTCGCAACATACCCTGCCATTAAGAAGAAAAAAAGGCAGTAAATAAAAGGGTCAAGCTAGCATTAATATTAAAATCATTCTAAATCATTGTTTTAAGTAAAACTTTTTATTTAATGATAAAGATTGGCTCAAATCATAAAGGATTTATTAGGTGTCTTTAAATCTTAGCGAAAGCTGTAACATAAAACAGTATATCTGAGATACTTCATTTAATTGCGCATTCTGCCTTCAGTTTCACTTTTTCTAAAAGCGGCGAACATGTAAGTTTTACCGTCAAAGAGCTTTTCGACTGCAAAAACTAATCTTGTTAATCCATCAAGTGCCAGGTTTGCGGCGTCTTCCCATCCTTCAAAAGACCAAATGCAGCTCTGTGATGTCTAGTGGTACAGAAATGACGCCATTTGTAACAGGTCGATCAACACTAATATTCGTTATCTGTTACGTATGGAAGCTCCAACTTTAAGCTAGAAAGCTTAAAATACTGTCACTCTTCCTGACGTAATCAGGCTAAGAATCCGTTACAATAAACATATTTCTACAAACACGGTCTAAGCTTATACATTGAATTATGCAGAAGTTTGGATGGGTCTCTGGATCCGATGCAGTCGTTGTGAATCTTCTTTGTTATTTTTTGATTAGCGAACGACGTTCGAATGTTTGAGGAAGTAGCATTGGTGATAAATCACATAGGTAAAGGGGTATACCTAGAGCTTGAATTACCCCAGTCGTTCAGGTTATGGTTCACCACTTTGAAAGCGCTCGTTTTCGATCAGAATAACATAAGTACCGTTGAGCAATTGCAACAGCACATGTTGCATTTCTTGTCGCATACTACATCTAACATCAGTTCTCTTCCGTAATGTTACCGCCACTTGTAAAGCTGTTTTAGCAGACATTTCTACTTGACCACAAGGAGAAAAATCACTATGCTCTATTTCTTATAGAAATTTAGACTCGCGAAGTATTTTGATCCTTCATGTTTCTTCAACGATTGCGTAAAACGCCGAAGCTCTTTCAGCAGAATCAATTTCTGTCACACACACAAAAACGAAATAAAAGCCCATAATCACAATCTTAACCTTTTCATTTACTGCCTATTCTTTTTAACGGCAGGGCATTTTGCGAAATTTAACTATTATATTGCTGACATATTCGCAAAACTCCGGATTGCAGGTGTCTGCGGTGGGAAACGAACGCACTATTGTCCTTTCCGGGGAGTAACGCGTTCACCAACACACCATGCTGGTCCTTCGTTTCGCCTGTCTCTCATCTAGTTCTATCGATAGAGAAAGGCAATACGAGGGACCCGCATTGTGTGGTGGTGAATGCGTTCCTCCCCGGTAAAGGTCAATAGCGCGTTCGTTCTCCACCGCAGACACCTGCTGTCCCGAGTTTTGCAAATATCTCAGCATTATAATATTTAAAACCGATAGTTTCCCTTTCTTTGTTTGGAGGGGGCGCGCAACAAAGTTCACAACGTTTATCTCTTTTCTATTAGTTCGTCGCGCTCTAAAGGCAATGTTAGAATATTTGGCTTTCGTCAAAGATTGAAGTCTTCTTAGCTAGATGTTGAATCAGTAGGCATAGATCTATCTTAGTCAACTTCTTGGAGTGCTCGTCTTCAACAAGATGAGACCGTGTCAGAATTTTGGCAGGTTTAGGGTTTTTGTCTCAATTACCCATAATTTCAAAAGAACCGGAAGCGGATTCGAAATGCTTACACAATTTCGGCCCCATTACATCGAACAAGAAATTTTCATGAATTTGGTTTTTATTCTATTTCTGTGATAATAATTCAAAAAGAGAACAATCTCCCATAAGAATCACATCGTTAAATACAAGTGGGGAGCGATCTCTGTTTTTAACGTCATGAGTAGAACAATTACAGATTAGGATTTACTCTAACCAAAAATCAACGAAAGAAACCAACGAATGTTTCATATTGGAAGATCTGATGCTCTACGGTGGACAATCCCAATAAAACCGTAGGAGTGGGCCAATACAAGAAAGACCGAAGGCTTTTATGTGTACATGTCGAACGATATATTTTCTTCACAGTAATTACTGCAACTCTAAATGTAAACAACCGCAAAACTGTAACTTACCTCTAATTTTGCGGAACGAAACTGAAGACAATTCTTAAATGAGAGCTAAAATTTAGAGTCCTCGTTTTAGTTCCCTACAGAAATTAGAGCGGGTGCGTGTGGCGCAGTGGTCGGAGGCGCCCTGCAACACACTTCTGGAATCGGTCCCGGCACCAATGGCCCACCAAGCCTTCCATCCCTCCGGGGTCAGCAAATTGGTACCAGACTTGTTTGGGAGGATAGCAGCACTAGCTCGATACAGCGGTAGACCATCGCGAATTTTTGTAAAGGCCAGATATGCATTCCATTACCTCCAAACGTACTTAATGAAGTCGAATGCATGACGCATCCCTCAAGGACTGATCAACGTCGAAAACTTTATCTTTTTTGCTCGTATTTTTGTTGAGCAAACGCGAGGTGTTATTATTCTTTGTTCACGATTAAGCTGACGTTTCGGCGGATTTCGCCTTCCTCAGAGCCGCTTCCTTTATCTTTTTTCATAGAAATTAAGAAGTTAGATACCATCTTTAGTTCATTAAAGATTGGAAACCTTGTAGAATATAATTTCTATTCGTTTATTTCACTTTGTTTTATTCAGATTTTTGTGGAATTCTAGATATCTGCGCTCGATAACAAACGTCTACATGGTCGGCTTATGTCTAGCCGACTTCATCTATCTCACCGATTTATCGCTTGTTGCTGCCACATCGCTAAATACGAGGAGCTGGCCATTTGGCTCAGTTTTATGTCATTTTTATCACGGTACGGAAACTACAGGTGAGTAGTATGCAATGTTCAAGTCGAAGAAAAAGCGAGAAAGACTACAATCATTTGCAGTGCAGTTATTTATTATGTCCACCAGTATTTCTTTTCTCCAGTGGTCGCCTTTTATTTTGCTAAGGTCTGATCTGGTCCATAATCAATAGGGTATAACACGTCTCGCATCTTTCCGGGGTCGGTAAATTGGTGTCAGATTTGTCTCGCTGAAATTGCATTCAGTTCATAAAGACTAGCGAATGACTGTGCTGAGAACCTGGGGACACCCTACGACTGCTAGTTTGGGATTCGATGTAGAATAGACTGGACCAATATTCAGCAACATTTATAGAGAAGACGCTCATCCGAAGTAGTGGCCGAAACCGCATTGACATTAGAAGACCTTCGCCAGGGATGGATGAGGTGATACGAATTGAATAAAAGAAGTGACGAGCTCCATAAAATATTTGGTGTAAGACCATATTAGAAAAATGATTTAATATTTGTCTAAACGACATTTGAAAGGATGGCCATATTAGTGACCATTAATATAAATGTACTTCCGCAGTAATAACGTGGCATAAGTAATAACGTGTGGACGCGTGTGGTGCAATGGTTGGAGGTGCTCTGCAACACACACTTCGAATCGATCCCCACTGCCATCGCCCACCAAGTAAGCCTTCTATCTCTTCGGGGTTGCAAACTGGTACCAGACTTGTCTAGGAGGAAATCAGCACTGGCTCGATGCATGAGTAGGCCCCCGCGAGTCATTGTAAATGCCAGATATGCATTCAATCACCTCAATGCTTAATGAAGTAGAATGCATGGCACATTCTTCAGGGATTTATCAACGCCGAGAGCATCATTCTTTATTTTGTTAATTAATAACGTATTATGATTGAGTATAGCATGATATTTAACCTAAGACTACTACTGCCCGAAAATTATGAAAATACAACCACCATGTTGAGATGTGTACAAAACTCAAACCCCAAGCGTGATTCGAAGCTGTGAGAATCCTTACCGGGATGTCACATGCAACGCACCACACCACTGAGGTCCTCTCTTTGTCTCTCTTTCAGCCAAAGGTACCATCAGCAACCACCCATCGACGAGAATGACCTGAGGAGTGCAAATCATTGAACCCAGTTAAGCTGAGGCAGTTATCAAAATTACAATGAAAACCTTTTTACTTACTGTCTATTTTTTTTATGAAAAAGCATTATATAAAATAGAACGGCAATAAAGCTAGAATATTTGCTAATTCAGACTCAGGACTGCTTCGAATCTACGACTAACCTTTTTTTGGAGCTTGATGGAGAAGTAATAGGCAGTAGATACAAAGTTATGCATTCTAATTTCGACTACAGCATCAGTTTAACACTGTTCATTGCTGATTTCTGCTCCTATAATCGTTTCCGTTGACGGGTGATTGCTGGTAGCAGCGTTAGACTGAAAGAAAACTGGTTGAGAGAAAGGCAAAGCAAGTGCTCAGTGACGTAGTATGTAACGTGTGATCACAAGAAAGTCTAATCTCCGCTTCAAACTCGTCACTGAATTCCAAGTTTTGCAAATATTTCAGCACCATTGTTGTCAGTTATGAAAATATTCTGGTTCTCCAGATAGGTTTCTTAAAAATCTCAGTATTACATCTTACTCTGTACTTGATAAACTAAGCACCAGCGATGTTGTTAATATAAAGCTTATTTGACGATCGCTAACGTTTCAGCGATTAGTGCAGAGATCCATTTCTGAAGCTGGAAGTAAAACAACAATGAAAACAAAAACATAATGTTAACAACGTTTCGTCTACTCATTAAGAACATAGCAACTTATTAGAGCTTCATAGTTATTCTTCTCGCATATGATGTGTATACGCTATATTTTCCCGGTTCGTTAAGCTAACACAAGGTTGATAAAGATGTCCACTTGGCTTCATCTTCGTCTCTTTCGACGTTTTCGTATTCATCAGTGCCGATGATCCGAGGTGATGGTCCACTGTCCTTCGTCTTTTCCATATGGTGTACTCGCCTTTGTATCGAATCCAGATCTTTTCCAATTCAGCACTGCCAGAATGAGGATCGGAATGATCGCACATGATTAGAAAAAAAAATTGGGCCCACCCCATGAAATGCCACTTTTTGGAACGCTTTTTCCAACCCTTAAACATGTTCACATTTCTGCAATCCAATAAAGATACTAACGCGGTAATCTGACTTTACCACCTACTAAATGTTATTGCGCACTATTAGAATAATTAGAGGCGCGTTGTGGCGCAGTGGTCGGGGGTGCCCTGCAGCACACACGTGGAATTGGTCTCCGCACTCAGGGACCACCAAGCCTCCTATCCCTCCGTGGTCGGCAGATTGGTACTAGAGTTATTTGGGAGGATAGCAACACTGGCTCGATACATCGGTAGGCCATGGCGAGTCATTGTAAAGGCCAGGTATGCATTTACTCACCTCCAGACGATGCTTAATGAAGTCGAATGCATGATGCATCCCTCAGGGATTGATCAACGCCGAGACCTTTATTATATAATTTGTGATTATTCAGTGTTATTTGAAAATAAATTTTTATAAACACCAGAGGAATATCCGACCATATTATGCACGGCACAACACTTATAGGAGCTTTTTCTTTGATAATTTAACATCCTCATTTTATTGTCGAGTAATAAGAACGTCGTGATATGATCACTTTATCCACGTGTCTCCCTTATTGCACTATTAATAGACAAGTTATTGTCTTCAGATAAAGTCCACATTAAGCTTTTAAGTCGTACAATATTTCTTCCTTAATAGATTTATTGGGCGCACTTTGCTTCCTTCATATTACGAAAGACGTGTTACTAATACGAAGCATGCAGAACATCAGTGAGAAAAGGACCGTAACGTATATTTGAATACGATGTCAATGTCTTTTTAAACACCAGTCGTTTTTCGTGTAATCTACTTGTTTAGAAAACAAAATTACCCGCACAGAGTCACATTGGATAAGAAATGTGCGTGTCTCAGGTTGAAATATTGAGCAGAGATATGGGTCGAACCCATGCACAAATTATGAGACATTCCTTCTTTCTTTTTATTTCTGAGTTTAGGAAATTTGTTAACATTCTAGATTGAATGGACAGCCAAAATTGATGCAATGTCATCTCACGTCATTTACAGGAAAATATGCGTCGGTGTTATTTGTCGTGCTACTGGCTGCAGATCGTTACTTGGCAATGTGTAAGACCGATATTTGTGCACGATTTAGGTAGTCATACTCTATAACGCTTGATGTAATTATTCAGTGTCACGTGTCTTTTTCACCGCTCAGACGTCTTTTGAATATAATTCTGCTCCTTTCACAACTTCTTTTACCAAGTTTTTTCACGAATTTTCGTCACCATTCTCCTTATCAGACGTCAACGTTATCGGGCACGTGAACATTGTACAGCTTCTACCGAGCTTAATGTACCTATCTTCAATCACCAAAGCTCTGGAGATCCTTTTTTTTCGCTTTCCATGCTTTTTCGAGACGATAACTGCAAAACTGTTTATGCGCTAACTCTTGTGTTAACTGTCATGTGAAACATCGCTTTTTAAATATCCATAAGGACTATAATTCATATCTATAAAAAAAGACTTTTAAGGGCGAAAATGTGCACGAAAAGAAACGCAAGGAAAACTTTCCCAATAAAATTTCTTATAGTTTTGCAATTTTTCATTTATTTTTATATTTTTTTAAGCTTTTTTTGCAGAAATTATCGTGTGGCGATGATTCTCAGCACATTCGCATGGGTGACGGCAATAGTGTGCAGCCTGCCTTTATATCTTTATGCAAAAGAGGTAAAAAAAGAATCATGTAACCTAGTTGTACGATTTTCTCTTTTCGAATTATTAGCAAAGTAGATTTCCAGTAGAATATCGGACATTTATAGATGTTGTGGGTGGAAATCGTGTACGTGTATGTATGTTTGGCGACCATAACGTGTTGGACTACAGACTTACACTCATTAATAAACTTAAACTTGGGCAAACGAATATATGAATTTACAGGATATTTTGGAAATTTATCAGCTATCGCTGTTTTATCTGTATGCCAATTCAATTGTGTCTTCATTTGAATAGATTGCTTATGTCCTCATCCTCCCAACGTCGTGGCCGGGAGGTGTTCCTGGGTGTCGGACTGCGATGCACAGCGGAGAATTCATTTTCTGGCAAAATCTCCTAAGCTGAAAAGGAGTCCGGCGTTTTCCATCAGGAAGCCTAGCTAATAGTAAGCCAATACCAGGATCCACCACTGTCTTAGTATCAAAGTCGCATGGTGACAAAGTGACAAACCCCCCCCCCTCCCTTAATCCACAAAGGGAGCGACAGCCTGTGGTGGTGAAAACATGGTGCAGACTTTGGCCAGACTGGCCTCGGGCCTCCAGAGAACCGTAACAGCTTAACCAGCAAATCTCCGAAAAATGGAGACTATGCCGAGGCCCGTACAACCAGTGAGGACGGGCTATTCAAGTGTAATGTGTCAAGTTTATGTCCTCATGGCAAATTATGGACAGTGAAAGCAAAAAAGAATATATAATTTACCAGTTTAGAAAAAGTGATTAAGGCCACATTTGGTGTACGACCAAAAGATGCGAGTGGTGAACAGACGAATAGAACTTTTTGCCTCGTTCATTGGCCAAGCACTCCGGCAGCTCAGTGGTGAGTGATCGGCGGCGCAGCGTCTGTAAGCTCAAACACCAACTGAATAATAGAGCTATAGCTGAATATGTTGTTCTGAAGATAATGTTCATGAGTTTTACGTAATTATGGTGATGGAAGCCCAAAAGGCGCAAAAAATGTATATCATTCCTCTGTGATTAGGCATCATTTCAATACTTTTAATTTTCGTGTCATAATTGTGAAACGCTGCTTTTCAGTTGAACAGAGAAATTTGGTGGTATTGCACAAGGCAAAATTTTACATCACAGTGCGAAAATGTGCTTGTGCAGTAGTTTTGAAGCTGCCTAGAATATTTCTTTTGTTTAGATTTTAGTTGTTCATGCTCAAAATGATTTCTAAGCAATGCCTTATGAAAATCAATGCCTATGGCTTTCACATTATAGCACCATAATACCTATTTAAATCTAATATGCGACCCAATTCTCCTATATAACCAAGCTCAGATTTCAGGTATATCACAACGTGTTCCGTGCTAATTTTTATCATACCAGTACTTGTTATTTTTTACTGCTATTATAAGGTATTTTGCAAACTACGGGAAGCAGAAAAGGTTGGAAATATTGAAGCTGTACTCATGAACTAAGTAGACTCCACTAAAGGCTATTTTATTAGGGTTCGCGTCGTTTACATCGATCACCTGCACGGGCACCTTATCAACGAGTAACAAGAAGTGTTCAGCGGGTCGTACTATTCCATCTTCTATGTTGGTGAGTTCGTATGCAATAGCTAATAAAGCGCAAAGCGTTTGACGTTGATCAATTCCTTAGCTCCATGGATCTGAATCTATTAAGCGCCCTTAACGTAAACTGCATGTAAACTAGGTCCGTACCTTATTTGTAAGGGCATACCGGCACATCAAGTCAGTGTCTTTATAATCTCGGACAAATCTCTGGCACCAACTAGCCGAACACGGAAGGGCGGAGGACTTGGTGACCTTAGTTCGGAGGATCGAATCAACAGGGAACCGTGTGTTAATTGGCACGGCAGCTTTAACCACTGCGCCGCACGCGTTTCTACTCATATATACATCTATAGGCATATATATATATATATATATATATACATACATGCAAATATTGCTTATCACCTGTCGTCCAATTTATAGTCAAGTGACTTCAGCGGCCGCCAACAAATATTCCATTTCTTCCCGTCGCGCGAAATAGTAACGCAGTCCGTTCTACTCGCTCTACAGACTAATTGAGCACCATATCATTCTTCTACCGTTTTTGTGAACACCTCTGACCATCAGGCCGATGGTATTTCTGCGGTACGTTTGGCATGCCGAGAAATCCAGTCATTACTGGCTCTTGCCCATCGGTTGCCATTCATACGCACTATGTGTCTGGCACACCTTATCCTCGATAATGTAGCGTGCGGAACGGCATCATTGGCGTACGCTGGAGCTTCGGATCACTTCCGTCAGTAACGTGATGTGTGATATTCTTGGTATCGTCTTCTTGACTGTGCGTTCTATAACGCTGAGTGATCGTTCATGCTGTTTGCGTAGCAACCAGGTTTGACACGCATAGGTTAAGACAGGAAGATTGGCCGAGTCGAAAACGTGGGCGTGGGGTCGGCTATTCTTTTTTTTCTCTTCACTACATCCTCGATGCTGTTGAAAGCGCCCAAGTCTTTCTTTTCCTTCTGCTTAGCTTTGGAACTAAATCGTTCAATATATTGATTTCCCGACCTTGGTAGACATAACTGGATCATTTGGAGATGTTCGTTTCTTTGTGCGTGATCAGGGCACACGAAACTAATCCGTTGCTTATGAACATCGTTTTTGTGACATTTAGTCGAAAACCAATCTTTTCACAAAGGTTATACATGGTGTTATATTATAAAGATATGCCACCTGCAAAGCGAAGATGTTGTAATTGCCAGCCATCAATTTTCACCTCTATGTTGCTTAATTTTAGTATTCAGATGTCATTCTAGAGCGTGGCGGCCATTGTAGAATGGTCACATTTTGGTTGCGAAGTTTAAGAAGCTATATATACTGAGTGAAAATGCCCTGGCTCTTTAGGACTTCCATGACTGCTTCTATTCCAGTTGAACCAAAAGCTTTCTTTAAATCGATGAAAGTGAGACAGAGCGGTCTATTGCAATTTCGCGATACTTCAACGAGTCTTATTATCGTGTGGGTGTAGTCCATTTTAGTGAACCCTTCTGGAAACATTGCTCGCTCCCGTTGCTACCCTTCCTCCATTGCTCTGCCAATCCTGTTTAGCAATGACTCCAGTGAAAAGTTTGTAGACGACAGACAATAAGCAGATTGTGAGATTGTTATCAATATCGTGGAGATCACGCTTATTGAACAATATCACTGTCTTGATGTTCTTCCACTAGAACATTACGTTCAGACAGGTAACATGGGAAAAGAGGAGCCAGTGTGTTTATGAGGAGTAAAGGAAGGTTCTTCAGGTGCTCATATCTCTTTTTGTCAGGACCTGATGTTGTTCGATTTTTCACCGACCAAAGAGCATGTTGGATTTCGGAAGGGAGAACCGATGGTGCGACATATCCATCCTCTTTTATGTTATATGAGAGAAGGGAGGACGTGGCTTTTCAAGAGATCTGAGCTCTAATCATGAATGATTTCCTTGTTGCCTTTCTCGAAGTTGTAACTATTCCGTCTGGGCGTAGTAATGCAATCATCTTGGTTTTGTGTTTGGCGAAGCTTTGATGGGTTTTGCAGATGCTTACCCCAGCCTTCGCAACTTCAACCATAACTGCTGCTCTTCTCTTTTTAAGATCTTCTTTTGTCACCGGTCTGCGTTCATGTGTTCGGGTGTCAGTTGTTCGCTGAGTATGGTTCGAGTGAGTACACGTTGCCGTATTAGCTCGAGTGCTTCTGGAGACATGTCTCTCGGTGACTTTCGAACTCTGGGCTTTCACAGCGCTAATGTGAAGATGTTGAATGAGCCGATCGTAATCTTCGTCGATGTTATCGAAAACGGCATCTTCCCAACAACCGACTAGTGAATTGAACAATTCCCAGTTAATGGCGGATTTGGGACTTCGTTTTTTGAATTTAGCGGCTTTTGCTCCTTTCCGCGAGAAATGGAATCTCGCACTAAGGAGGCAGTGATCTGATCCCGTGTAGAATTTTGGGACAACAGCGGCGTCGTCCAGGCATTGCCTTCGATTTGCTGTAACGTTTTCTATTCCGTTATGGTACTGTCTACTGGGAGACTCCCACATCCAGCGTTGAGAGTGGGGCTTCTGAAATTTCCGTGGGTTCTATGTGACGTTCTTCAGACGTTCTTATATGTCCAATCTTAACATTAAAATCACCAACGATAACAGCAGTGGCTATATGGTCTTGTCGCCTTCTCCATATACCTACAAAACGTTTCGACTTTGCCTTGGTCGTAGCTTGATGTGGGTGGGCTAGTTAGTTATTCGAATGATTCGATATTCCTGGCTAATCTTCCGAAGAACAGTTACTATTTCTCTACTGTGTCACTTACGCCGTTGAGTGTGGAGTTTTCTCGTACCAGTCAGTCCGATGATCTCGTACCTTATCCTTGCCTGCATGATGAAGTCCTCCATCGAGGATCAGATGAAAGTGAGCGTACATTGTATGTACAAATCGTTGCTTTACTCCTTCGAGAGAGTAACCTAGAATGACCTTGAGATTTTATCTGCCTCGCCTTACTCATACTACCCAACGCTGCTGTGTCGGGGGCTCCTATAGGGTCAAAGAAATAAGGACTGTTTATTTTACTATGTTTAGCTTTTGGATACTCACATATCGCTTGCTCAGTTTTAAACGTGGGGACTCGGTATAGTCACGGGTAGCTTGGCAGTCTCTTGCAGTGTAGACAGGGTGCTTATTGTTGGTGTTGGCTCATATGGGCCCCATATACTTCCTCGTTATTTGATTGCAGGTTTTTGGTCGAATGGACTGGTAGAATATAATCCCAATAAACGTGAGTGCACCTATGTACACTTGCATTAATACGTCTTCGTAAACAGAGAAGCTTTGTGCCAAAGCGGCGAAGCAGAAGCAAGTAGTCCATCCCTGGATCCACCAACATCTCAAATTGCATAAGGTCGCTTTTACTCTGCGATTCACCCCGTTTTTGCGACGTAGAGAAACGCCCGGACTTTTGCAAATACCTCAGCATCACTGTAATTATATATGTTTTCTTATTTTCTTTTGTTTTACATAATCCGTCTTCACGTCTACTGTGCGGATTCTTGCACTTCTCAGATTCGATTCGTTTCCTCGCATCCACTGGCCACGAAAATCTTACGAAGTTTTACGTTTGGCTCGGTTGCTGCTTGAGGATTTTCATTTCATCTTGAATGTCGTAGAATGCTGGTCAAGCAATTCTTCTTGGAGTCCTGGGATAGCCGGGCTGGAGCGTTTTCAATTGGATTGCAGAGAATGGTTTTTTTCCCAGACAAGTCTGGTACAAATTTCCCGACCCCTGAGGGATGAGAGGCTAGGTTAGCCAGAAGCAGAATCGAACTGGCACCAGGTTCCTGATGACGGACATCGTTACCACTGTCCTGTTCGCCCACTATACATATATATAAATTTCTTAAATGCTGAATCTGCACATAAGTGCTCATAACTATGCTTGTTATCTGTGTAGACTGATATACTTGGTATACCTGAACAGTTATTGAACAAATTTTGCGACTTTCGTTCCAAAAAGTGCTACTAGACCACTGCTTGAAAAAGCGTTAAATATGAACTTATTGTTATTGTCGTTTTGTCTACCTGGCTACGTCTTGAGCTTTTCTTTCCCATTATTTTCTTCGTGAACTTTTGCAATTTTGGGAAGTTGATTGTTTTTTCACAGTTGAAAAGTTATGTGACAATGGGCAGCGAAATATTTGCGAAATTTTCAGGACACCGTTCTGGTTGTTTAATTTGTTCTCATCAATTTTTCGTGTACGAATCACTTCGCAACCTGAACGTATCGTTGTGAATATAATTCATCTATTTCCTTATGTTAACTGTGCGCTTAATCCGTTGCTCTACGCCTATAGGGCCGAGAATTTTCGAGTCGCCTTCAAGTCACTGTTTCTTTTTACGTCCAGGTAAATTTCCGTATTTATATTAAACTACATCTGGATTTTTTATGTGAGACTCTTACCTTGAGAATTTGTTCCTTCCCAAAAACCCATCTGCTTTGATAATTAATCCCCTTCCCTGTTCTCTGTCTACTCTCCGTTCATCGTACCTGCCGCCGTGGTCATTTTTCCCTCTAACTAATAAATATCTTCAACAGATCTCTATTTCGGTTTCAGAGCTGATTGAAGCTTTTGTTCTGCTTCATCCATTACTTTTTTATTATTACATGACCCAATATCACATGTGCTTTTATTTTCGTTATGAATGCCTTTGAATGCTGGTAGGGCCGATTCTCCCTGTTCCCATGTGCATTACAAAGTGTGAGCTTGTCTTTGACAAGTCTGACACCGAATTCCCGACCCTGAAGGAATGAGAGGCTTGGTGGGCGGGTTCGGCGTCAAACTAGTGCATTGGTCAGGCAGCCTGCCGAATGAACGGAATCATCTCGACTGCACCACCAGATCACTCCCTTCACCTGTACCTTTTACTTATACGGCATAAAGATGTTCTTATGCAAGCTTGGATAAACCGTACTATTGTCACATAGATATTTAGCACGAACATTTCAGGACAGGTGAACTGCGAGCATCTGGTCCACTGACAACAAATAAACCTTACATCTGCGGCAACATGTACTGTTTTTTATTCTTTAGTCATCTCCATCTTTTTTTTTAAATCTGCAGGACATTAACTTATTCGTTTTAAAGCCAAACTCCGGCCGAAGATGATCATAAAGTAACGCTTGTTCCAACGCACAAACGCCATTCTTCACAGGGCGAAGGGACGACGGATTCGCAGACTGGAAATGAGACCGTACGGTATAGACTAGTTTAAACGATCAATGAATGGTGATGAACTCGGTCGAATTACTCAAATATTTGCACGCACTGAATCATCACTAATATCATTAGTGATATTTTTATAAAAGAATACTTTACTAAAGCTTCCTAGTTTCAACATCAACCGAGTACGCGAAAGAATCCGTTTTGTATGTAATGTTTTTGTACCCAGTATTTATCTAGGAAATCCCAGTCTCAGTCCTGGCTCCAACAATTTGTGCCGGACAAATCATCACCGAAGTGCAGTTTGCAGTTGGTGAAAAATCAGAAATCACAATCAAAGCCCAATCTCTACGTACAGTTCAGTCCACAGAAAACAGCGTCTGAATGCTTGGATTTAACGTCAGAAGGAGAACAAAATAGCATTACCTTGTTATAGAGTATATATTCTTCTCACTCGAACGGGTCCACTATGAATGTCGGAGAATATTGAACGTCTTGTTTTTCATTAACATAGAAAATTTGATACTGTCATACATTGCCGTTCTTTTCTCGTAATTTTGTCAAATTTCCAACAAAGCACAGCTTTTCCGTCATACAGACGACAACTTTATACACGTTACGGTATTATACTGAAGACGCACTGAGTACTCTCTTACGCTTCAAATCATTCACTTCTACTTCCCATTTTCCTTCTTGTAGAATATCATAAATTATGCGAATGGTCCCACCAAACACTTGAAAATCTCATGAATGCCTTACAGTGATGTCGAACAAACACCAATTATAGAGTTAAAAATTCGTCTTTAACAATCATCTTTTGTGTTTGCAGAATCCTTTTTGCTTTGCATTGTGATGTTGACTAGACAATGGACACTTTATTATAGAAATTATTTCTTTCTCAAATAAACGAGTTAAAAATTGAAAAGTTCACCACACCACGATTTTTCGCGTAACTAGATTGCACTAATCCCCATTAGTTTCATATACAACTACCTAAACTGTAGTACAAGTGCATCTCAAAAAATGCTTCCCAATTTTTCTTTACCGTCATAGTTAACAAACGCTGAAATTTACTCACTTTAGGGCAAAAAGAATATGATCAAATACTGATAACGATAAGATCAATCAGCACTTTATAAGTAACCAGATAAAAGCTCTAAGCCCTCGGCGTTGTTCAAACCTTAAGGGATGCGTCATGCATTCGACTTGATTAAGTACGTTTGGAGGTAATGGAATGCATATCTGGCCTTTACAATAACTCGCGATGGCCTACCGCTGTATCGAGCCCGTGCTGCTATCCTCCCACACAAGTCTGGTACCAATTTGCAGACCTCGTAGGGATGTAAGGCTTGGTAGGCCATTGAGGCGGGGAACGATTCTACGTGTGTGTTGCAGGACCTTCGACCACTGCTCCACACGCGCCCTAACTAAGTAACCAAATAAGGTGTTTTTAGTCGTGTTAACTGCGATGTGCAATGGATTCCTAACGTCTCTCATAAATAATGTTTATTATACTTAGCCGGTATAATTACATATGGCTCAAATGCGATATTGAATGTATTCACAAGCCCAATGACATTATAATTTAAAGTGAAAAAGTCAATTAGTAGTTCTACTCTTCTTAGCAGCAATGACATCTAGTATTGGCTGACGTTTTGTTTGATACCTAGGTAGCATATTCATATAAAGAACTGGTCAACATGTAAAAAGAAGGATTGGTAGTAAATATAAAAGAAAAAATACCTCCTCTGCAATTCACGTAACTCTTCATCCATTTCCGATTCTAGATTGTTTTTTCGTCGAAGTAATTCATCCAGTGAGAGTTCTCTTAACTGAAGAATAACAATTTACAAAAAACGTAAAATTTAAAACAATCGGGGATAAAAATGGATAAAAATGAAGGATCTGGGAACTACATCACAGTACTTTCCATATGTGTCACTAAGCATGAGTTAATATAAAAAAATATGTCGGTAAAACAAAGAAGTAAGCAGTTATGAGCAGAAGTAAGTAGTTAATTAGGACTTTACATTATAGATAAAACGTTATAGAATTGTAAACACGGCGTGGTTGTGAACGCGCTAGCTCCCGGAAAGGGTGATAGCGTGTTCGGTACCAAACGTAGATGTTGTCCAACACGTTTTTAGTTTTCAGCATCCAAGAGTTAATCGATTTTGGTACTTTATCAGTCAAATTTGGACTTATCTCTGCATATTGGTAAACGTTATAGATTTGTATACATTTGCATAGCAACTAGTTCACATGGATTTTATTGCTCAAGCACTTTTTTTTCATGATTTTAATCGATAAAAACGGGTAATTGAACGAAATATTAAGCAGGTCTCTTGTCAACAAACAAAAACCTGCCTAGTTTGATACAGTGTGCTCTATGCTCTCATTGTGCGAGTTTGGTGAGGAATAATTTCAAGATCCTAGTGAAACTGACAAGAATGGGGAAGGCAACGATGAGCAAAACAATGTAATGCCCACGACTACTGAACTTACGACGATATCCAACCTGGGAATGAACCACACCTCCTACCTGAACGCACAACACTCGTAAATCTTAATCAATTACTTACGGTAGGCATTTTAAATCTGATCGGTGTTGACATTAACAGATACGAACACGAAAAGTACCACTATAGAAAAAACAACATCTAAACGGACATAATTTTCAGATAGCAAACGGAAGAACACCCTATGATGTAGCCAAGGATTCCAATAAGAATCAAGTCGACCATTATTAAATGATATTCGTGAAAAAGGGAAGAGTCCTCAAATCACAGCAAACCTACGGGCAAATCCGAAGACGATCGTGGAAAACGGCGCCGGATAGCAAACCAAATGAAAGCAGTGTCAAGATCAACGCAATAAATGAAGGCTCATGTAAAGAAATAGAAAACAATAACACTTCTAGATGTAAACATACTACACTATAAGTTAAACAATGGCCTAGATATGAAGAGCTAATGGCTCATTCCCATTCAGCAAATAATTCCACCATCCATAATGAACTTCATCTAAACAACACTATCCACAATAGACAAAACAGCACTGATTTCTTTTTACTACAGTTTTCCTACTGAACCGATTTCCTGAGGACACGGAGAAAAGACCACATTTCCTGAAGAAAGAAAGGCCTGGGTCTTGAATTTGTTCAACTCACAGTGACCTGTCACCACAGATCTCCAATGATTTGGCCAAAAAGGGTGAATTGCTGGGAAACCACTTCACCCCAACACAGCAGGGTGTAGCTTTTTTCAGAGTTTGGTAAATCGACTGAACTTCTACAATGCAATACCTCTCAATATGACAAACGAAGTTCAGTCAAAAACTTCCAATCCTGACTCTTGAACTAACTTGCGCAAATAGGATGCATTCGTAAACAGGACCGATATCCCAAGAATTCACAACGACGGAATTCTAATAATTCTCACCTAATATTATAATCTGATTAAAAAAGCAGCAAAAATAATATAACAACTTTACCGGTAGTACTTATCCACGCAAAAGTTAATTCACACTTTAATTCCATTGACCAGAGTATTGTGTAGAACTAGATTGCTAGTCCACTCTTCGATGACCTCATTTTTGCCCTCATAAGTTCACTTCCTCATCAATTTCCACATCAGCGAAAGCGGTAAATTGGGTAACAATAAAATCCACACTTCCGTCACTCTCAACTGCTTCTTCTTCTTCACATAAACATTGCATTAGTGCACGCTTTCGCAAATGTATGTCTTATAACGAATTTTATAAGGCTATATTAAAGATCGACACAGATAACGACAACATTGCTTGTGTAAAACGTGCTAATATGATTAGCACCAGATGTAACTAATACAAGAAACATTTCTGCTTCCACTCTAATGTCCTAGAAAATGGCAAACTGCGAAGTGTAGCAAGTATCTCCTAACGACGGCTTTTACAACAGCAAAATAGAAAAAATTACAGAAAAAGGAAGCACAGCACGAAAAATTAACCAGGGAGAGCGCGAACTCATTAATGCCTCATATTTTCGCAAGCGTTATGAACGTATACTCCACCTATTACTCAGACTGAATGCGTCATAGTGCACTTTCTTTGCCTTATAAATCTCTCATTCACATTTCAAATAGTATTAAACTTACGAATTCGTAATCACCATCCGCCATTGATTTGTGGAATCGATTTTCATATTCGGCTTCAGTGTTCACTAAAAAGCGAACTGTTTTCAAAAAGAAGATCAAGAAAAGAGCTCGTACATAGTATTGGTAGCTTGGTAAAGACCTAATTGCAATTTATGACCTTGAACATTAAATCACTATAAATATAATTTGATTAAATGAAATAAAACCACAACGCTTTACTTTTCATCTCCTTCCAACTACAATTTTTACGGCAGGGTATTATGTGAAAGACAACTACAACGATGCTGAGATATTTGCAAAACTCTGGATCCCAGGTGTCTGCGGTGGGGAACGAACGCGCTAGTACCATTTCCGGGGGCTAATGCGTTCACCACCGCACATGCGGGTCCTTCGTTTCGCCCGTCTCCCAATTCGATCGATCAACAAACTGAGAGACGGGCGAAACGAAGGACCCGCATGGTGTGGTGGTGAACGTGTTAGCCCCCGGAAAGTGTAATAGCGCGTTCGTTCCCCACTGCAGACACCTACGGACCAGAGTTTTGCAAATATCTCAGCATCGCTGTGATTGTAAAATAAAGTCATTACAACCTATTCATTTTTCTATCAAGAAACAACTCTACTTATTCTGGAGAACAATAACCTAAAACCTAACATTCATTAACACATAAGCACCGCTACCGCACTTCGTGGTTGACCGAATCGAATACAAGTAATTGTTCGTCGACTGCAGACTTTCTGGTTTTGACAATGAAAAATGAAATTTTTCAGTAACTAGAAAGCCTTAGGAGTTGTGAGCACGACAGAATTGTAGGGCAAACTTTCTTTATTCCTTATATTCTCACCCAAATAAGATAAACTATGCTGCCTTAGCCCCGTGCTCTGATTATGATATGATATATGCTCTCAAGATACTAAGAAACCCGTCTATTATAACCAGTTATTCAATGGTATAATTTTAAAGATTCCACGTTAGAATTGAAGAACTCGATTGGGCCTTTGACGAACTCTGGCTGCTTAGTGTTATGAACGCCTTTAAAGACATTGCTGATGAGGAAGCACGCTATGAGTGGTAAATTTTCTACTTTTGCAGGAAGTACATAGTTTTGCTTCATTATCTGGTTTTTCGAGTTTTTTCCTGTCCTTTATTATCATTTCTCACTTTTCATTGGAGTGTTCCGCTTCAACGACAGAAACCACTACAGTTGAAAGCCGTCTTCAAGTAACTAGCACTTCATAAAGTTTATGAAGAAGGTGGAGATGTGAAACAAAATGTGAAATGTTGCTGTCAAGGAAACTAGTATGTTTTTAAATCTCTTTTCAATCGTTCTCGTGACTCTTTCCTTCCCATAGTTTAGGTATATGACCTCCTAGTCACCTAATGTTTTTTAGGCGCATGGAGGACTTATTGTGACTACTTGCAACTAATCGCGGTCCACACTCCGTAAAAGCTAGTATTGCTTTCCGACTGTTCACTGTCCATTTCTGATTGCATATGCGAATCGATTGTGTTTACGTTGTGGATTGCGAAATAAATGCCCTTACACTCCTCTGAATATAATGGAGCTTCATAATTTCTTCCTTCTGTTCCAATGAATAAGGCAATGCATATACGGTGGGTGATGCGTTAAATCCTCCCAGTGGTTTTCCGTAGGGAAACCGATTCACAGAATCCACCTTCTATCTGTGATGATCATCTGTGAAGGCTGTATAGACATAAATACTCATCTCTTTCGATAATCTGGATAGAGTTCAGAAAGTTATGGTTCATGATCGCATATGAAGACCGCTAAAAGTGCCGGAAATGGCAAATGTTTAGAACATGTAGGAGTTCCAACTCGATTCAAGAGCGCTAAGCACCATCTACTGCTGTATGGATAAACTATTCATCGCCAACCATAACCAAGAAAACGCATCGTCTACTGTACAAAAGTGCAGAGCACATTCCAAAATGGCTATCTTCAAATGCCTTCGGAGATATCACAATGCTAACTTTTTCTTCACTGCTTATTATTAATTTACGCAATAGGGTAAGATGTGAAATATAACCACCAAGACGCTGACAAATTTGCAGAATTTGGACAGCAGGCCAGATCGAACCCCGATTACACTTTTCGGGGGCTCCTTTCTCTTAGTTAGTTTTCTACCTAATAATGCTATCATCAATCACCCGTCAACGGGATTTGCTTTCGAAGAACTTACCGCTCCCAAAAATTAAGAACTGCTGCAGGGAAAGAATGAGCTTGCACCTTATTAGGAAAAATGTATAGATTCCAACGACTTTTCTAACCAATAAATATTTGCAGAAACTAAGTCATGATTTGGAATTCTCATGAGTACTTCTATATGAACAAAATACCAAGACTTTAGAGAAGTAGAGAGATAACTTGCCGATGCTGGAAGTTGCTGACGATCCCGACTCTCCCACGGGCAACTTCGTTGGTGTAATCCCATATTCTGGCTTTTCATCCGACGATCCCGCTTTCTGGTACGGAGGAGGAGCACCCAGCACCGACTGCGGTATTTGGCCACCAATACGAAGAGACTCCATCTGACTCTTGAGACTGAACGCCGTGAGGAATTGGTCTGCTTTAAGAGTTAGGACAATCGCTTCATGGATTACGAAACAAGTTCATTGACAAAAGTTAAATAAATATTCCGGTCACACGATAACACTCTATATTTAATTTTTCCCTCTACCTGTTCCAGCGGGATGTTCAACCAAAGTACGCTCATCGGCGTTGTTTTCCGTTAGGAGAGTAGGACCACCTGCTTGTCCTTCAACCATTGTTGCTGCATCCGGCTCAACTGCTGGAAGATTCTTAAAGAAAAAATTCGTATATAAAGACTACTTCATTCATTCCTATATATAACGTTAAACGAGAACAAGCACTTGGGGCCAAGAATTGGAATGCCCGGGAAGTAACAGGTTTCGTAAATCCTTGGTTTTAAAACTACAAACTCCAAAAAGTAAGTGCATTTCCGAAAAAAGCAAACCTTGCTATTAAGCTGGATTTCACTAGCGTCTTTAATAATTGCTTGAAGAACTTCTGGCCCAGGCGCGTTTGCAGTGAACACATGCTACAGGCATGAAAAACTTTTAGTATTCATGGAAAACTGACAAAATTAGACGGTCAACAAGAGGTCATAAATGAATTAGGAATCATCGGAAAAACAACCATATGAATATTTAGAAAATTTTAGAAAAAATGAGTAGGAAATAGGCCAAAACTATCCGAACCTCAACGAGTTGAGAAGCAGTTTTACGGTCCTCTGGCTTCTTAACCAAGCATTGTTTGATGAAATCATTGAACTCCTCACTCCATTCATCTGGTTTCTTGAACGTAGGAGGTGGTTTCGTCGGGATCATAAATATGGCCTGTACCATAAAACTAAGACAAAGTGTTGTTTCCAAACCTCCACTTAGAATAACACTAAATACTGCTATTTATAATGTGTAGTGTCGTGTATTTACCCTCATGGGATGGATATCTGCATATGGTGGGCGACCTTCTGCCATCTCGATGGCAGTTATTCCCAAAGACCAAATATCCGCCTTCGTATCATAACCGATTTCTTCAATCACCTCAGGAGCCATCCAAAACGGTGTACCGATAACCGTGTTCCGTTTAGCCATTGTATCCTGGAAATTGCAACATACCTATATTACTTGACAATAACAACTGACCGGAAACTAGAAAAACCCAAAGTGTGCTTATGATCACTTTTGTAGGAAGCAATTATACTGCTTTGTTCGACGATTTCAACGTTTAAATCCCTATAGCGGTGAAGCTACTCTGTAGAAAACAAGCCACAGTTTAAATTTTACTTCCTCTATTAACACATTATAACCATTGCGAAACCACTCATCATTAACGTTCTTTTACTATAGTTTCCCATAGATACATACCGTAAGCTGACCCGCAACACCGAAATCGGCCAACTTGGCTTGCCCCTCGATGTTCAGCAATATATTGCCAGCCTTGATATCACGATGTATTTTCTTAAGGTCGTGAAGGTATCGTAGACCTTGAATAGTGTCTCGTAGTACCGCACTCATCTCACGTTCAGTCAGTGTTTTACGCCTAAGCCGCATGATATCCGAAACAGAACCAGCACCGCAGTACTCCATGACAATCTAAACCAAATTCCGGTAAACATTATCCACCGATCAAAACAACGATTCAACTCGACTTACCCACAGATCTGAATTTTTGAAATACGACCCGTAATATTTCACTACATATTTGCTATCACATTGTTGCATGATACTAATCTCCTTGATAATTTCCTGAAATGCTTTTAGTATGATTAAATGCTATCATCAAAATGAAAACAAGTCAAGCGAACAAATGTGCACAGATTTTAGTTCGTTCCATCACCTGAAACAGATCTCAACATGCGATATCTGGGACCACGATCACGAATGACGTCATCATTACGTTACTAGCAATCTATCAGGATACTTTTAAAGCAACGTCATAATACTTATTCTAACCTTCTAGGACGAGCTAATTCATCGCTATGAAAGAAACTAGACGAAAAAAATTCGTGAATATTAACATTTCCAAACAGCACCTCCAAAAGCACATCGTTCACCAAACCGATATACGTTATAATGCACTGTATCCCAAATGCCACGGATCTCCCTCGTATGAGGGATCTTGAGCCGGTTAGCCGCGAGGCTGCGTGGCGCGTCTCTAAGTGACGAACAGGGGGTTAATCGCGGACCAAAAGCGACTCTTGCTTCCCTGAGACACAGGTTGATCCAGCTGATGGACTCCGTGTTTCTGCTGCTCCGATACGGCACATACGTTCTGTATTTACGAGGCGCATTCATGCACGCGTGTGTGGGTGCATTTTAGTTTACGCGGAATTTATTCTAGAAGTGAATTCACACAAAAGCCTGCAAACAAGTGAGAGGGAAGTATATGGGAAACCGTTAAGAGTCGCCTCCAACAAATAAGCTCCATATTCACGCTGCGCGAGCCTGGCAAGCTACCCGTGAGTATACCCAGCCTCCACGTTCACAGCCCAGCAAGCTATACGTAAGTAGTAAAATGCTAAACACAGTAGAAAAAAAACGGGCCTCATTTCCCTGACCCCGAAAGAGACCTCAATTTCGCAGCATTGGGTAGGACGAGAACAGAGAGGCTGCTAAAATCTCTGGGCCAATGGAAGCCGCCTGCATTACAAAGAACCTTTCCAAAACAGTGCAGACAGGCGATAAAAGAAGATCTTAAAGCGAGAACAGCAGTAGTAATAGTCAAAGCTGCAGACGCTCGGAAAAGCATTCTCAAAGCGCACCGAAGTTTCGCTAATTACAAGGCCAAAATGATTGCATTCCGGCGCTAAGACGGAACAATTACAACGTCCAGAAAGACAATGGAGAAAATCATACACGAATACTACTCGGATCTCTTCGATAGCCACGTCCACATTCCGTCATATGAAATAAAGAAAGATGGATATGTTGTACCGCCGGTTCTCCTTTTCGAAATCCGACATGCCATTTCGTCGGTAAAAACTTGAACAGCACCAAGTCAGGAAAGGAGAAGATCAGAACACATGAAGAACCATCCGCAAATCCTCGTAACCACACTGGCTCGGCTCATCACACGTTACATGTCCGAATGCAAGGTCCCTAGTCAGTGGAAGACCAGCAAAACCGTGTTATTGTTCAAGATTCAAGAAGGATGACCTAAGCGATATCTGCAACTATTGCCCAATCAGCTTACTGTCCGCCGACTACAAACTTTCCACTCGAGTCATCCTAGGCAGGATTGACAGAACATTGGACGAAGGACAGCCATATGAGCAAGCAGGATTTCAAAAAGGATTCAGTACGATAGACCATATCCACATAATAACGAAACTAACTGAGGTAACGCGAGAGAACAAAAGACCGCTCTGTCTCACTTTCGTCAATTTGAAGAAAGCCTTTGACTCAAATGACATAGAAGCAGTCATGGAAGCCCTTGATTGCCAAGGAGTTCCTATTCAATCTCTAAAGATTCTTCGCGAGCTTTACAAAAATTTCACAACCAAGATATCACCATTCTACGACGATATTAACATCAACGTCAAAAGAAGGGTTAGGCAAGGCGATTCCATCTCGCCAAAATTATTCACCGCCACCTTTGAGAACGTAATGGGAACTATGGAATGAAATAAAATGGGAGTGAAAAGCGAGGGTCGGGAAATACACCACCTACACTTTGCTGATGAAATTATCCTTATGACACCAAATATTAGCCAAGCGGAACGTATGCTTGACGACTTTGATAAAACCTGTGGAAAGATTGGTCTTCGACTAAATCTCACAAAAAAGGTGTTCATGAAAAATGGATTGGCTTCGAATGCCCCATTCACGCTCAACGGAACAAATATCTCCGAATGCTCCAGTTATGTCTATCTAGTTCGGAAAATCAACATGTTTAACGGCTTAGCTCCAGAGCTCAGGAGAAGGAAACGAGAGGCTTCAGAAACCTGGTCGCTGCGTAAACAGGATGGAAAATCACTCAGCGCTGCTGAACGCGCAGTCGAAAGGATGATACTTGGAGTATCCCGTGTCACGCAAGTAAAGGAAGGGATCCGAAGCTCCGACCTGCGTCAGCGATCAATTCAAAGATGCCGTTCTGTACGCCAAACGGTGGAAGATAGGGTAGACCGGACAAATAATGCGTATGAACGACAACCGATGGACAAGAGCCGTTAGTGGCTGGATTCCTCGAGATGTTAGACGCACTGCAGGAAGTTCACTCAAGGAGTCCAAAGTGCGAGCAGGACCCACTGGACTACTCTTGCACGCGACAGGGAAAGATGGGAGATTTACTGGTGCTCGCTCGAGTCATTCGACGATCGACGGAACTAGAGGTGATATAGGTGATCCCAAATGAACACAAAGAAAAATCTTAACAAGTAAAACACAAAGTTAGAAATGGATAACTACCTGGAGGTCGGTGTCAACAGGAACCTTCTTGATAGCCAACGTATGACCGGATTCTCGATGAATTGCCTTGTGCACCGATCCATAGGATCTGTAAAGCTGGAAATCTCAGAGTGGATAAAACACGAAAAAAAAACAACAATATCAAGCATTCCTTTTAGGATACTGCTAATTTGACCTTACAGCTATGTCAACAATGTAATTAGAAAGTAGTTAGAGGAACTTAACCTGTTTACTACTACATATAATAAAAAAAAACGATAAAGTTCTCGACGTTGATCAGTCCTCGGATGCGTCGTGCATTCGACTTCATTAAGCATCATTTGGAGATGACTGAATGTATATCTGGCCTTTACAGTGACTCGAGGTGGCCTACCGATGTATCGAGCCAGTGCTGCTATCCTCACAGAGAAGTCCGGTACCAATCTGCCCACCACCCCGGAGGGATGGAAAACTTGGTGGTTCATGGCCGCTAAGGGTCGATTCCACGTGTGTTGCAGGGCGTCTCCGACCACTGCGCCACACGTGTCCTTACGATTACATACAGTGCTCTTAAATAAGTGATGCTAGTGCGAAGCACTACAACCGTTACGTCAGAAACTTTATAGTAATAGAAAACATACTAATAGAAATAATAGAAAACATACAGGAGCAAATACTTGTCGCACTAATGAGGAACACAAGTAAATGAAATCCCACTGGAAGCCAGTCCATGAATAAACAATACATAGCAAAAATATTAAAGAAAAAGTTGAAATTCACGTACCCTTCTCCAAGCTTTCCAACGATATCAAAAACCTCTTCTGGCTGTTTGTTTAGAGCTGCTGAGTCCAATTTGAATACATCTCTGGAACAGAAACACTAAGGAACGTTGTGAAAAACTCACAATGGACTAAGCCACCGAAGCTTTCTAAACATTTTAAGCAGATGGTAGAGAGAATAGGGTTTACTCCTTTCCTTAGCAGCGCTAAAATCTATGCTAACACACAATTTAGAACCTGAAGAAATTAAGGACAGGCTAAGATGATTAAACATCTGCATGCTAAAGCACCTTGTTTTACGCATAAAACAACTAAAACTCCAACATAACATTTATTTAAGTAGTTTAAGACAATTTAAATATGGATAGTTCCATCAGTCTCAAATAATGTCATATTGCTTCAACAGAAACTCCTAGTGTCAACAGAACGACAGCACAAGCGAATAAGTGGAGACTGACTTATATTAAGACTTTACCATCTAACTCTTAGCAACATAAACGACATAAACGTTAAGAGTTATTTAAGGAACTGGGACTAAACGAGTCGCCTTACATTTGAAGCCATAAAAACTACACTAGAACACCTTCCAACTCACGAACACCCTTCATTAGATGAATCCTTCGATGACGTAATGGACGGAGGCATAAAAACGTCAACGAACGCCTCCGAAAAGACTCTCTGAACGGAAAACGTTTAGTGAAAAGACGCAACATTTACAGAAATGCACTTCGAAACAACGAGATAGTAGAAAATTCTTAACATTCATGGATTTAACCGATATTCCGACAAGTAGAACAGATACAAGTACAATAAGGAATGCGGCAAAGGTAATGACAAAATCATCAGGAGAAAGTGTAATACACGGCTCCAGCTAAAGCAACTGCTCACAACGATATCTCCGGTGCGCGCGCGCGTTTGGCGTGCGTGCTTGCATTGGATCGCTTGTTCTATCAAGTGTTACAACCATGCGAGGAAAAAATACGTTATTAAATTCCTACTGAAAGTTCCGTAATTTCGTTGTTGCATTTGATCCGTATGACATTAGACCTCTGTTTGAAGGACCTCCTGCAACCGTTCTCAAAGGGATTTTTTAGTTTAGGTAACTTCCTTAATGAAGAGCGATGTTTCAGAAATATTCTTGTTCAGTCACGTCAGCGACTGAATAATTGCATTTCTTTGTACTCTGTGAATCTCTACTCTCATTTCTTAGCTTCTTTAACTATATAGAAAATTTGTTGAGGTTTGGGGAGGTTATTAGGAATGTGTATTACCTACAAACTAGAAAATCTTGATGTAATTATTGCTTTCGTGATTACTTGTTATAAGCGAAATAACCTGAGTTGGCTGCCATTTTTAAAGGCTTTTTTGATGTTCTTTACTGTCGAATCTATGATGGGCAATAATGTCGTAAAAACACAGTCTTGTCTCAAGTTTTTTACAAATGCTCAGTTTTGTATCATCAAGAGCAAGTGTAGCTCCAGTCTTCATTTTCTGACCCTTAGAAAATAAACATGACTCATTTCTACATTATTTTTTTTTTGTTTGTATCCTGACTTATAGACAGTTTCTGTGGCTATTTCGATACGTTTCTAATTGCTTATTTATCCGGTTTTTATGGACGACACTTATTGTTTTCGAAATATTCTTGGAAATTCCACAATTACCGGTCCTTCTAGAATTTCTCCACAAAAATGCGAATTCCTTAGTCGTTTGGCATTCAATCCATGGCGTTTTCGAAGGCATCGCCAAAGCGGTCGTGTCGAATCTACGATACGGTTGGTTTTGTTGCTTCTCATTGTTCGAAGACCTTCGTTTTGTAAAGTCTTCCAGAGTTTCCTTTTCTCGTTGGTTTTCTTGCTTCTATCCTTTCGAAAAGCGAGACGAAAGACGTTACTACCCTCTCGAAGGGATAAACGAAGGACAGTCATGGTGTAGTGGAGAACATGCTAGCCCCCGGAAAGGGGAATAACGAGGTTCGATCTTGCTGAAGAGACCTGCGGTCCGGAGATTTGCAAATATCTCAGCGTTATTGCACTAATGTTTCCCATCTTACCATGCCATGAACGATGAATGGGCAGTAAACAAAAAGCGATTACATTGTAACTAGCATATATTTAAGGGTTTGACGGTTGAAGTCGATGAAGAACACTTGGCTAACATGCTGTTTGGTATCCAACATAGAAAAGTGGGGGAATGTTCATGTGATGACGGGGAGATCATAGGTAAGGTCCGGTGTGTACTTGTTTATCTATTTAGCTAACTTAACTAGATAACAACAGATAACGACCACGTTCTAAACACTTTCAATTATACTTGGAATACCGAATCTGACAGGAATTTTTCTTACCGTACACATACTCTAGACATACCAGCAGCCATGTTCGGATGTTAAATGCTTCCATTTTGTTATCCTAGATACCATCACGATGTTCCCTGTGCACCACTTTGGTATGATGATGACGAAATAGCTGACGACATCCAAGTGCTCAGCAGCAAGTCTTCTGTGTTTTTTCATCAAAGAAGTGGTAGTGACCGATGTATTCTAGTAAATGCAAAGAAATTCTTTCCGTTCTCATCATCGTATGGTCAAAATTGTTTTGGAAGTGCAAAACCGTCCACATAAGCATTTTCCAGACAGCGAAGGGGTACATCTAGATGGGTCAGACTCACAATTAATAGTTAATACCATATCATTTAGTCATTTTTGCTACCCACTTGTATTGTGATATACTCAGAGAGTTCCACACAAGCGAAACCGGATGTGTCGGACGAAAACGATATTTGGTGACATGATATAATCGTCTATATAATACGAAGATAAGGACCGATTCCTTCTCAACGATGTGTTAAATCTACATTTCTTTGGCCTGATGTCACAAATGAACATGGAGATTCGGTAAAGATTTCTTGAGAATAGGAATGATGTTAGCTCGCCGTTTTTCTGGGAAAAGCATTTGCAAAACCCACCGAAGTTTCGCCAATTACTAGACCAAAATAGTTGCACTCCGGCGACCAGAGGGAACAGTTACAACGTCCAGAAAGGCATTGGAGAAAATCATTCACGAATATCGCTCGGATCTCTTCGATAGCCGCGCCCACCTTCCGTCATATGAAATAAAGGAGGATGGATATCTTGTACCACCGGTTCTCCCTCCGATATCCGACATGCCATTTCGTCGGTGAAAAAGAACAGCACCAAGTCAGGAAAGGAGAAGATCAGAACACCTGAAGAACCATCTGCAAATCCTCGTAACCACACTGGCTCGGCTCATCACGCGTTACATGTCCGAATGCAAGGTCTCTAGTCAGTGGAAGACCAGCAAAACCGTTTTTCAAGAAGGGTGAACTCTACAATATCGACAGCTATCGCCCAATCTGCTTGCTGTCTATCCTCCGCAAACTTTGCACTCGATTCATCCTAAACAGGATGGGCAGAACACTGGTCGAATGACAGCCATGTGAGCAAGCAGAGTTTCGAGAAGGATTAAGTACGATGGACCAGATTCACACGACAAAAAGACCTCTCTGTCTCACTTTCATTGAGTCAGTCGACGATCAACGGAACGAAGGATGAAGCAGGTGATCGATTTTGCATCGTTTAGCTTAAAATTGCCCTTAAGAGGGAAATTCGTTGTTTACTGATATGAAACTCGTAATGCGTCAGTACTTTTAGAAGAACGAAATCAAGCTTCTCCATGTAACCAGGAACAGTGTTTAGCAACTCTCCAAGAAAACACGAGAAGGTTTATTTATACATTTTCTCTATCATTTCACATTAATTGCTATTAGTTTACCATGAACACCGATCGCAATTATTTTCAGTATAAAATTGTTCTGTTGTTTTAACTTAGACGTTAAACGTGGAATGTGTCGAATTTTGCTCTCATAACGCTTATATATGAATTGGATGCACAAACGGACGACTCATAATTGACCGTCTAAATTATTTTGAAAATCACAGAGTTTTTTATCATGTGTCTTTATTGTGCGATGTTTGTTGTTGTCAAGTTGTTTTTTGTTGTTCTGTTTGATCTAGGGGATTTATACGCAGTTCGTTTTCAAGTGTCTTTTTGTAAACAAGTCTATTCCTAGGAAATAAATGCTTTGGTCTATCATAATATTCTAGCTGTTTAGATGATGAATTCATTAAACATTTCAGTAAGATGACTCAGCAGGTTCAAGCTTAGGAATAGTGTCTACGGTTGATTTTTCGTATATGTTTTTTCTGTGACGTCGGAAAAAAAAACATATTTGGATACTTGAAAGATTCGTCCTTACGAATTTTGTGGACCACATCACGTTCTCCCCTTCCTTTTTTTGCTTTGAATTTGTGGCCATGGTGGTGGTTTGATACCATAATGGATGTAGGTGCGAGTATCATTTCGTGTTTTATGAAACAACAGCAGTTGCAAGTATAACTGTTTGACTTTAGTGAGGAATACGTCCGCCCAACGTGTAGGTGGCCGTCTTAGGGACGTATGCATATTCATGGGGTCCACTCTACAGTTCCTTTTGTCCATCTGTCTATTCCTTTTGTATGACCTCCCATCTATGTTTCGCTGTCGACATGTGTTTGCCTGGTTCTCAAAGATGAAATAAATTTCGAGCATCAAAGCCTCGTATTCCGGCTAGATGTTGTGTGTGCAGGCTATATTTGAGCATACGTCGCTCAGACGTTCTATGAGCAGTACGCAGCATTCCTGATGTGGTAGAAGTATCAGCCCATGTCCCTGCTCCGTAACAGAACGTTTTGGACTGCTGAATCGAAGATGTGCGAACCGATTTTCCGGTCCTTTAGTTGATCATCGGCTTTCAGAAGCTGAAATGCGGACCAAGCTGCCTTCCTGCTTCTGTTTAATTCGATCGCCTAAGATATAATACGTACGAGGTGAACTCCGCAATCTGAGAACTATCCAGTTCGATTTCTTCCTTCTCACCATGTTCTTCATGCGTCTTCGTTTTATTTATGCGCAGTTTAATCCTTTTTCCCGCTTCGTTCAGTTCATTGGCCATCGTCTCTGCTTCACTGATACACCTCGAAAAGATGGCGATATCATGAGTGAAACGAAGATATGATAGGAATTTATCACTAATGTGTATTCCTTTCGCGTCCTAATCGAATGACTTCATTACCCTCTGCAATGCGGTAGTAAACAATACGGTACCAGTCTGTTAGAGCTTTCATGTAGGACAGGTCCACTCTTTGGTCGACGAGCCCTGGTGCGATCACATCCGTTTCGACCACGTTAAATGACTTTTCACACTCAACAAAAGTCAGCACCAAGGGCAATTCGTATCCCCGACAAACTTCTGATGCTGGACGCGGATTAGGTGGTGTCCATTCAGCAAAACTTCTACCGAAATCCTGCTTGTTCAACTGGTTGTGCCTAATCCAGTTCCATTAATATGGGCGACAGGATGATCTTCGTTAAGATCTTATAGAATACACTCAACGAGCATATCGGACGGTAGTCACGGATACCCCTTCACCTTTCCTTGGTAGGATAACCATGCGCAAACCCTCCACTGGTCACGGATTTTTTTCTTTTAAAGGTAGGCAGTCATGTGGTTTGCGAGAAGTGCATGTAAATTGTGGTTTTCAGCTCGAAGGAAGTCGTCGGTGTTATTATCCGGTCCTGGAGCTGCGCCTCTGTTGATGCCTTCCACCGCTACTCGAACCTCAGGAAATCCAGGTTGTTTTTCTCCAGTGGGGATTTCAGGGTTTGAGACGGGGATTGTTGGAGGGAAAAGAATGGTGCAGAATTGGTGTAGAATTCTTCTTTTATCATTTTTATTTTTTCAGGCATTTTTAGGCGTTTTTTCACACTGGTTGCTTTTTATGCTGCTTCGCCCAATTTCTTCTAAATGTTGTGATGTAGGCCATCGTACAAAGGTCTTCTGGTACTTATTACTAAGCGTATTAAGCGTATTGCAGTAAGATTATGCTTTAGGTCCCTTCTCTTTTCAAGCAACTCCTTTGTGGCTATGGAGACACGATCTAATCTTCTTGCTTGAGGAACTGTCGCGAATTCGATGCAACTTTTAAGTCCTTTGACAAACAGTTCGTAGTCTCCAGTCGATTCTTCTTTAATATGTCGATCATATTTGGATACAATTCCGTTCAGCATGTTCTCATCATATACAGCTAGACTTCTCTTAGTCGATGTGAATTCTTTTGCAGTTTCCGACTTAATCGAATCTTCGTGCGAAGAAGGAACTGATCGGAACCAAACAGAATGGTGAGGCCACCGATGTGTGAAATAGGCTCCATCTTCGTTTTGTGAGAATATGGTCATTGTCCGCGTGAGTCGTGTCGTCATGAGATTCTCATGTCCAGCGGCAGTTTTTTTTCTAAAAAAAAAACGAGTTTCTATAGAAGATGTACTGCAGCCAGAAGTCTTGCAAGGCTGTTCACGTCCCCACTTCCTTCTCCTAATTCAGAATTTTCGATCCTATATTCGTTCTCTTTGGCCCTTTCCTGTTCTGAAGTTGAAGTTTTCGGCGAGAAATTTATAATGCAAACTATTATTGTGGGTGATTTTCTCCAGCTACTAATACAACGCGTCTAATTCGTACTGCATCGGTCGGTGAGTAACAATCGGTGACAGTGTTCTTCTTATGACGCGTCAGTTGAAGACGGAGAACGGCTATGCTAGGAGTAAGGATCTCGGACGAGTCAACGAAATAGACAAGGGACGGATGGACGAGAATGTCTCCGCCACCAACATCTCGTAACAGAACCATATTTTGGTCTTCTTGCTTTTTGTTTTTTGTGCAGCGAGTACATGGAATTTGATTTGATATGCGCTTTCAGGAGGAGCGTGAAGATCTACGTCTGAGGAAAGTGCTCTGTGTTGTACGCGCAGACTATGAAACAGTCTCCACGGCGTTTGGTGTATGTGTCGTTCAGGTACGGTTCCAGAGGCCTCCAACGCAACTCGAGATTTTGTGGCTTCTCACCGGTCGTCTCACCACCAGACGTCACACACGGGACCACCTATTGTGTGGAATACTGAGGTTGGACTACTTCTAGTCGGACAATCTGATCTACCCTCCTAGGAAGAAATTTCCTTTAAAAATAGATTGTCCTTGGTCTACTGATTAGGATTTGAAAAAGTCTATGGACCAAACTGAGTTATTCTTGGAAATGGTGAGGTGACTGAAGACGAATTGGTGATATACCTAGGTAATATCAGATAGGACGACTACTTAGACGCAACAGGATTAACTAGTCCTTAGCTCTATTTATACTGGAGAATTAGATGAATTGAGAATACTTGATACTTGATACTTGAATGGCCCGTCCTCACTGGTTGTGTGGGTCCCAGCATAATCTCCATTTTTCGGAAATTTGCTGTTTAAGCCATTATGGTTCCCTGGAGTCCCAAGGTCAGCCTGGCCAAAGTCTGCCCCAGGTCTTCACCACCAAGGGCAGTCGCAGCCCTTGTGGATCAGAGGGACATTTACCACCATGCGACTTTGATACCAGGGCGGTGGTGGATCCTGGTATTGGTTTACTCTTAGCTAGGTTTCCTGATGGAAACGCCGGACTCAGCTTAGGAGACCCCGCCAGGGCATGAATCCCCAGCTGCACATGGCAGTCCGACACCCAGGAACACCTCCCGGCCACGATGAGGGGCTAAACCGTTGGGAAGTGAATTGAGAATATGAGAATATGCGCAATATTTCGCTAATTTCTTGATTAGCACACACCAGCTTATCATATAGCATTTCTTCACAACAACACAACTGACGTCTGGGCGCATATCACCTTCTTGAGAACGTGGAAATATCAAGTTAACTGCAGCCTAATCAGCCAAACATTTCCACAGCACCAACAGAAATGCTACGATACCTAGATTTCAATCGCGTTGGAAAGAAAACAGCTTCTTTACGCATATATCCCATTCTACCCTGCCTTTCATGTCTGGTGAAACAAGCAGTTGTAAAAAGTTGCTTGAAAAAGAACAGTCTAGAGAATTCGGTAGCAGTGATTTAAATATCACTGTGTACTTTAAGACGTCGGCTAGTTCGTAACTGCCTGTATGACCGCCTACGTATAATGCCAAATTGCATAATTTGCCTTGAAGGTGGAGATGGCGGTTGTATGAGTTCGGTTAAGGTGTACTTAAGCTCTCGTAGAGCATGTGGGACGAATACGTTAGCGAAACGGGTAGACCGCTCTGCGCCCGCCTACAACACCTAGGCGCGTAGGACATAGCGACGTAACGGAGAAGTGTTTGAAGTAGAAATGTCCATCCTCGCGCAATAATCTAACACATCAACACGTAAAACCTCGAATCATTCAGAATGAAGTCCAGAGATCCAAAAATGAACCGCCAAGAGGATTACCTCGTTATCACGCATTACTCACACAACATCCCAGATTGATATTTCAAACGTGGGAGAGGCTCGTTTCGCATCTAAATGAGCTCTATACGGTTCGTTTTCTCCTAGAAAGCGATTGATCGGTGAAGAAGCTGTTTTGTTTCTAACGCGTTTGAAATCTAGGTGTCGTAGTTTTTCCGTTGAGGTTGTGGAGGTACTCTGCTGAAAAGGTGGCAGTCAAACATAACCTGTCCAGGCTCTGAATGGAGCGGAATCCGCCTAAACTTTAGCTTCTTTTGATAAATAGTATGCTAGCAACCTCGTGTGTGCTTCTGAAGAAAATGGCGAATTATGTATCAGTACCAGAGTTACTAGAATATCGTCGGTTGGGCGAATTACTGCGAGGTGTACGCAATGTTACGGATTCTGCGGACATTCAGCCAACTTGGAATAGTGTCGATAGAGCACATCCAGTGTTTCGTTCAGAAGCAAAAGTCTCTACGAATAAGTAATCGTTAGAATTTACGTGGTGTGTCGTGCTACTTGCACGTCCATATCGAAATCATCAGGTTGCGCACCTAGGATCGATAAGCAGCGACGGCACGGCCGCTGACGTAAAGCATTAATTTGTCGTTATTCTATAGTTATTCGTTTAGTGATAAACTGTTTAGAGTAAGCTTAAAGCTAAGATTTCAGGTTCTAGTTAACTGAAACCTATTCACTAATGAACTTTTCCCTTTCATCGTAATTCACGTGCAGTGGCGGGGTGTTTCGTTCTCGTCAATCCATGCACTTGCGAAATGCACTTCTTCATCGTTTTTCGTCCTTTTTCTTCTTTCCTTTTCATGTTCTATCGTTTCGTCTATGTCGAGGTGTATTAGACTAGAAGAAAAAGTTTCTCTTCGTTTTCAGCTGTTTTTTGTCCGAGTTTTACTGTTGGCTGCTCGAATACTCCAATTCCTTCAGAGCGTTGACAGAAAATATCGTTCTGCCTAAAAGATTCACTCAAACTACAAGTTCATCTCGATTTTGTTGTTGATGGAGTGGAGGATTATTGCTTTGCTGCGTCGATTTCTAGTTTTCAGGATTGCACTTCCGCTTGATTCCATAGCTGAGCATCATCGTGGAATTCTCCAATAATGTCGGGCTTATTTCGTGGTGCTCTAAATCTGATACAAGGCCAAAGCACATGGACCACTGCTCATCCGTTAGTGGGAAACTATATAGAGGTCGGATCAATGCGTTTACGAGTGGATAGTGTAATTGCTGAAGGTATTTGAGACATTTCGATCCTTCTTACTTATTTCTTCCTTCCTTTCTTTTTTTTTTGAACCGTTCCTATCTGGTCAAGCTGCATCTCATTCAGGTGGATTTGCGACTGTGTTTGCTGCACACGATAACACTAACAGATACTATGCATTGAAAAGGCAATTTGCAAGGGACAAAGAGTCGATGGATCTTCTTCTAAACGAGATTCGAATTCTTAAAGAGGTCTGAGGCCTTTCCATTATTTCGCATTTCTCGTACTTGTTTAGAATTTCTCGCTATTAATCATATTGTTGAGTGTCTAGCTCTCTGGACATCCATCACTTGTGGAGTTTGTCGCAGCTGCCCAAAAGCGATCACAACCAGACGGTTATGAATTTCTTATTCTGACGGAGCTGTGTCTAGGTTCGTTTTTTCGGTTTCTTTGGTCTGAGAGGGAACTGTAGCAGTACTCAATTGAGTGCTTACTTCTCATTTGTGTATCCCTTGAGGTGCTTTTCCTGACGATTATCGATTAGATTGCAGGCGGTTCGGTGGCGGATCTAATGAGAAACACCCGTTTAACGACCGATCAATGTATAAAGATTTTTCATTCGGCTACATTGGCTACACGTCATATGCATGAGCGAACGATACCCATAACACATCGAGACATTAAAGTAAGTAATATCAGATCTACCAAGGAGACCAAAATTAGCCCTTTTTCAACTTTTGTTAAAAAATATCACCTTTGGGTTCGTTCCGGTAGTATTGTTTGCGATTATAATGGTGTAGAAAGGTTATCTTAAACCTCTGAAGGTTTTTAAATGTTTTTAGTCTTCAGGTGGAGAACCTATTATTTACCGTAGACGGCTATGCGAAATTGTGTGACTTTGGAAGTGCTACTACACAGATTTTCTGTCCGAATGAAGCGTGGAGTGCGGCTAAACGAGCGCACTTAGAAGAGGAGGTTTCATTCTTTCGTAGTTAACATACTATCTCAAGACAATGTAGTACTTTTTTTTACTGCCTATTCTTTTTTAACGGCAGGATACTATGTGAAGTATAACCGTAATAATGCTGAGACTTTTGCAAAACTCCGGACCGGTAGTGTCTGCAGTGAGAATCGAACTCGAAATTACCCTTTCCGGAGGCTAACGCGTTCACCACCACACTTTGCGGTCCCTCAGCTTAACTGGTTTCAATGCCTATTTGTGATCCACAGACCAATGCCGCTGACGGGTGATTGCTGATGGCAAAGAGGTGTGGTGGTGAACGTGCTGCTCCCCGGAAAGGACAATAACGCGTTGGTACCCCAACCCAGATATTTGTGGTCCGGAGTTTTGCAAATATCTCAGCATCATTGAAGTTATATTTCGCAATATATCCTGCCGTTAAAAAGGGTAGGCAGCAAATAATATGTTGAAATTATTTCAACATTATTGTGGTTGTATTTCAAGAGACACTTCTAACGAGAACTTATATATGTATGTGACGATCAGAAGTACTTGATTTCGATGTAGTAGTGCTTAGATTTTATTCAACTTATTGTTAGGGTGTGTATATTATTTATTTGCCTGCAGTAAAATTTGCTGCTTATTGATGAAAAGATCAGCCGACTCAGTTGAATTACGCACCTTACCTAGGCAGTTTCATTTGCTCTTGATAGATTAATTTTTTAATGAGGAGTAATGAAGGAACCAAGAAATATATGGTTTTAAAAAAACCATGTTTTAGATGCAACGGAGTACTACCCCAATGTATCGTTCACCTGAAATTCTTGACACCTACCAGAATTTCGCCGTTGGTCCTCAGCAGGATATATGGGTAGGTTAATTTTGGCTTAGCAATTCAAATAAGCATTTGAGAAACACACGAATTTTAGGCGTTAGGATGTGTGCTGTACTATATGTGCTATCGTGTGCATCCTTTTCAAGATTCAGCAAAATTGCGGATACTCAATGTTGCTTATTCCATACCGTCTGGATTTGACGAGTTCGAAGATGTAGTTCCTGTGATACGTGAGTGACGCTGAATGCTTTGATGTATTCATTACGTGCTTCCTTTTGACATTCAGACAGACCCAGTTTCAAAGCGCAAGTTCTGTTTCACGAGTGGAATTTGCGTATCTATTCTAGAATCATGTCTACAACTGAATCCAGTGAATCGTCCTGTCGCTGGAGATCTTGTTGAGACAACATCGGCGTTAGCTGTTGCATTGGATGTTAATCTTAAAGAGCGCATCATTGTTCATGGCGGTGTTGTTGGAAGACCACCGGTATTTTATCCGTGTTATTTATTCATTCTGTCCTCTCCACTTCATTTCTTCAAGGTTTCTGTGTTTTAATGGAAACATTTCAGGGACAAAAGCCAGCAGTCGGCGGCGTATCAAGTGCTCCTCCGCCTCGTCCACCTCCTCCGCGTAGTTCGGTGATAACAGAGGTAAGAAACTTATTTCGGTCTTTATTGTTGCTTCGGTCGACATATGCTGAAGTGCTTGTCTTTTTTTCTTTAAAGGACGTTACGGAACAAGCTTCTGCTATGTTTGGCGCTATTAAAGGCCAAGGGTTGTCGTTACTTAAAAATCTCAAGGATAAGTCTACTGCGGTGGTTCAGAAAGTTCAGGTTGTTTTTCGCTCTGCTTGCGGACTATAAATCGCATATTGTTTTCTTGATAAGTGATTTGTCCCAGTCAAAACTAGTCTTCCAAGAAGTCACATGGGTTACTTCTCGATTATGTATGGTTCCTCACGGAAGAAATACACACGACGAAAGTGACGAGATAGAATGGAATGAGCCGTTATTATCTTCAAATCGACCATATGTTGTCTTCAACATGACGTCAAAGTTAGTCCTATTTTTCCACGATTATTCATTGATCTTCGGGTTTTCTCCAAGTATTTCTTTGATTTTTTAGGCGTCTTATTGCCAACTGCTCAATTAAACCTATCACTTGCCAACTGCCTTCAGTGCATCCCCAGGTGCCTCCACCAGTTGAAAATATTTTATTGGTACGTTGTCATTGCATAGGTTATTTGGTATGAAAAGTCTTCCTTTTCTGATGAAATACTTAAGATTCTTTGACTTTAGTTTAAAATCCTGCTTAGCCAACCGTTGTCATAAACGTTGAAACCATCGCTTTTCTGGTGGTATGTTTGGGCATTTCATCCACATGAAAGTTTAGTGTCCTGGATTCGGTGAAGTCGTTAAAAGCCTTTTTGACTAACTCTTGATAGCCCATGTTTTCTTTTGCTTTTTTCTAAAAGGAGTGTCCTGGCTTTTCGCATATTCGTGACTATTCCAACTTTTTGATAGTTGGTAAAGTGTCATCAATAGCTGAATAACTTGGAAAATTTTAGATGTCCAAAACTTAAATTGCCAAAAAATTGGAGGTAAAATTTGAATTTTTAAAATTTAGCGAGAGCATCAGAATATCGAACATCAACAGTACACTGGAGCAAAATTTTATGTGTTAGTGGACAAAATCTACCTTGATTAATCGCTTCGTTGTTCAGTATGCGAGTCTTGGAGAAAAATAGTGATCAGAAAAAGTGGTTTAGGAACTCTGAAAAGCTGCGATTTCGTCTTAGTGGCAAGAAGGCATCTTATTGTGAGAGATATATAGATTTCAATAGTTTTCATACTTCAGCGTCTTTGTCGGTGTACTTTACTCCACACGTTGCCATAAAAAGGCTAGACAGTAAATAGATGTTAAGACATCGTGATTTTTTTTTTTTTATTGAGTCAATTAACAGTCTTCTCTTTGAGCTGATATGTCCGATTTCAACTTGAAAAGGGCCACCATTTTCGTGCCACATTAAACATCCATTGAAGACCGATGTGTTGAATGGTGTGGATGACTCAGATCCCTTTTTTAAGTCCTTTGTTGGCCGCTATGTGTTCCATCCTTTATGATTCTTGGGAGCGGTCGATGTGATAAACTATGACCTCAACATTTCTGTTCAACAGTGCCAGCAACACATCTTCCACCTCTTATCGTGCTTTTTCTTCATTACCTTCTCGTAATGTTTTCGACATTATTTTTTGTTTTTACACAACCCGTCTACCACATCTCTTGTGCAGATCCCAGCACTTCTCACATTCGATTTGTTTTCTTGCATCGGTCATCCACGGAGGTTTTCCACCTTTTGCGTTTGGATTCGGCTGCTGCTTGAGGATTCTTTTCTCGTCATGAGTATCGTTAGATGCTTATCGAGCGGATTCTCCCTGGAGTCCTGAGATAGCTGGGTTGGAGCGTCCTCACTTGTATTGCAGAGAGTGAACCCTTCGCAGACAAAATAGGTACCAATTTCCCGAATCCGGAGGCTTAGCTAACCTAGAGCCAGATCGAATCACCACCGTGTTCATGATATTCGGCATCACTACCACTTCGGTCTCCGTCTTTTCTTAACCAGTTGTAATACATCGTTCCGTATTCTTAATCGCGAATGAAATCGCTTGATGACTTTCGAGGAAAACATATTTTATGTTCACGTCACAATTCGTTCAATAAAGTGATTGTTCTTCTTGCACAAAAGAATCTATAACACACTTCAAATCGATAGTTTCTCTTCAGTTTGATTAGTTTATGCGACGCCCAATTAACTTTTTTCTTAGGAATTCATCTGAGGTGTTCTGAAGTCGTTGTTTTTAACTACATTTAGTTCTACGGAAATATGTGGAACCCTCGTCGACTTGGCTCAGAAAACATCTTGAAGCAGTCATCGTCGACGTCAAGATTTCGTCCGCTGTGAATTTTGCCACCTTGATGATTCTCGTCTCCATTACGAAGGTTTTTAACATAATATTATATCGTGCAAGCGCTCCGGTTAGGTAGAAAGGAGAAAGCCTCCGTCATTATTCAATCCCTTAAGGAAGCACCTCGCATTTCATTTTATCCGTGTCATCGTAGAGTTGATTGAGTGGGTATTTGGCTTGTAGAATGACTTGCTGTAGACTACCAATCTAGCAAATCAGTGTTTTTCAACTTTCCAGGAAAGTCTTATACCAATTTGCCGACCCAATAGAGAATAGAACTCGGTATGGGGCTTGGTTATCATAGGATGTAGAGTCGAACCAGAGACAGCTGAGTGTATTTCAGGCCTCTTGGGCTGCTGCGCGCTATTTGCGCTTCCGTTAGCGATTATGAGACCCAGTTTGACGTCATTATTGAGCGTGTCGTAGGTGCTTTACGTCCAACAATGTTGTAGAAAAGCGGGCGAATTAACTTTTTCCCATTTTTCGTGGAAATATATCGTTTCTTAATTTGGTTGTTGTATCATTTCCACTTTCCCTTACATACAAAATCTGTGCATTTTGAAGATCTGCTCCTCGGTCGTCACATTCCTTCGAAGCCATCCAGCTGAAGCTGTCGTACTTTTCGGATCAGAAGGTTAGGTTTTGAACTTTTCCCCATCACAATATTGAACTTTTATTCGCTGCCTAGCATAGTTTTTGGCGGCCAAATTGTATTTCACATCTTACCCTGACGTGAAAAGTTATAACAGGCAGAAAATAAAAGGTTAACATTGTTATTTCGACTACAGCCTCGGCTTAACTGGGTTCAATGCTGCTTTGTGCTCCCCAGATCAATCCCGCTGACGGGTGATTGCTGATGGCAAAGTTAGGTAGAAAACTAGCTGAGAGAAACGCAGGGCAAGGAACACGGTGGTGCTGTGTGTAATGCGCAAGCCCTCGGAAAGGGTAATCGTGTTGTGATTTGGCCTGGGGTCCAAGTTTTGCGAATATCTCAGCATCATTGTGGTTGTTTTTCCCGTCATTTTTTCTTTCGTTATAAAAAGGATGATTGCACATAGACTGTTGCAATATTCACGAAAGGGTTTGTTTTCGTAACAAAGTTTATGTTTTAGCTCAATGTTTGGTGATCGCCGCTGCCACATTACTTTACTGTAAGTTGATTGGTGATGCGCATGATGCATGGGATTTCGTTGCAAATAAGCGTAGAACTGTCCAACGATTCTCTCCGTCACATATTCGTATGCTTGATCTCGTAAAACATCTCACGTCACTTCCCGCAGCTGTACTAGTGAGTTCAACTGTTTCTTTCTTTTCTTTTTCATGTCATTTTCTCCGTTGTCTGTATTTTATCCAATCGCAGTTGCCAGCGAACCGTGTGATTTCGCTACATTCCATTTCGTTCTCTGCTATTCCGATTTTCGCTGTTTTGCAATCTGGTGTATGGCCAGTGATTGAAATATTCCAAGGAGAGTCTTTAAAGTGGAATTCGACTCGTGCACGAAGGTAGGAGACTTTTATTTAAACTTGTTTTTTTGAGCTTATCTCTAGTGGTAAAGTTGGGTAATCCTTACAGTATATTGTATTTCAGTTCGTTCGCAGTGTCGGAGTCGTCTTTTGAAGCGGACGTCGGAGTTTTAGAACTAAAGGGTCAGGTGACACTGCTTATGTTTTACTGCAGATCGAATATACCTCAAGAAATCACCAAGGTGGATATCGAAAGATCTTTCTTATGGTGGTATTACTGAAATAATTCTGCTTAGAAACTGATGTTTTCTTTGGTGTTTCACACTAGCCTCGCTGGATCGGTAGTGAGATTCGGGCGCTCAGAGTTGGATATTAACCCTACTGAGGATAAGAAGATCCCAACCAACTTTAGGTTAGTTTAACATTCACATCGACCAATCGAAAACTCTAGCAAGGGTTTTCTCATGTTAAAAGCAACTGTTTTTGGTAACGTCTTCACATTTAGTAGTAGCATCAAGCATAAGCGTAGCATGGTTTGCGAAATTTCCAGTTAGATCATAACGTGGACTATTTTTTTTTTCGTCACTATATAGGATAATGGGGAACACTTCCTAAGAAGTTTTTAAGTTTACTTCTTTGCTTAAAAATAACAAAAATTTTCAACAACATGTTTTCTCAATTGAACAAAAGGGCAGTGGTTATCATGTACTCAATGTTAGTGCTATTTTCTCTTTCGTCTAACAGTTTCTCTTCTTCACGGTACCATTATTTTGAGTATTGTATCTTTTTCGAACTACTAGGTTCGTCTATTCTTGGAGTTCCACTGCAATAAAGCAAACTGCTTTTGAATATTTTCGATTGCTACAATTTCCACTCTAATTAAGCTACTTATGTCTAACGGTATTTAATGCCACGATTTTTTTGCTGAGATAGGTCCATCTTCATAAATCACTGAGCATTTGCAAATATTCGATTAGTCGCATTGATATAGTTGTTCCACTTATTCGCTAGGGTACTCATGTCGACTATAGTTCTCGACCTGTGAGCAAGTCTGTGCTTTTTTCTGTAAGAACGATAATGGATCATGGATTTGTGGATTATGGATTATACGGCTGTTCGCTTCAT